TATATATAAACCATTGTGTCAAATACGAACAAAAATTTGACATATATATGAACTTGGACTGCATAGCATTTATAAACACAATATGAACATAATAAAAATAACTATTATACGAAAGAAAATAAATAAAAAAACATGTATGAACACAATATGAACAGCTTGTGAACAATAGTTCCTTCATTATAAACACATTCAGGAGCGATCATTTGTCAATTGGAGTTTTATACATGCATTGCATCCACACTGTTTAAGGTTCACCCCTTGTTCATATATGTTGTCGATCTTATATGGTTGTTCACCCCTTGTTCATATCGTGTTCACCTCTTGTTCATATCGTATAAAATATATGAACACATAACCCCAACGCTATGAACACCGGGTGCAAACACCTACACAAATATAAAGATTTGGTATTAAGCTTAAAAAATAACATTTGTGTTCATATGATAGAAGTAACATGAACACAATGGTTCATGATTCATAAAAGTCGGTAATATGACAATATGAAAATGGGTCGTGCATGTACTTCCATTTGAACGTGTGAATTAGGTACGTTTTTTAATAATTAAAGAAAAAAGATATCAATACAAGATGAGTTATAAAAAACACAACACATCGTAATGAACATAATTTCGATTAAAACGAATCTAAAAAAATAAAAATCTATTACCAAGACATTTGCTTTGGTTAATTTCTTCAATTCCCGACCTCGAACTCCGATTGTCATCATAAACCATTTTAATCTTCTCACTGTTGCCGATTTATTTTCCATTGCGTTTATCTATATTAGCTTGATCGATACCAAAAAATTTTACTACTGTATTTTCTATGCGAATTAAAAACTGATAAAACAATAAACATGGAAGATCAAAATTAAAAAAAAAAAAATTATTAATATTATAAATGTATATTTTTTGGGATTTGATGATTTGTAACTCCCCATTAATTGTTTGAGAGTTATATGTCAAATAAATTTACTGAAATACCCTTGTAATTAAAATGGGAGCATGACATAAACCTACAAAAAGAATGGAATTTGATTGGTTGTCATGGTTTTCAAAGTTAACACAAACTTATTGGTTAACATTTGATCTTCCCCCTATGTATATATATATATATATATATATATATAAAGTTGTTCGATGTAACTTTAATCAAATTTTACCGTTTCAAGATAAAAAATTTAAGTTTTTTAATTGATTTCAATGAGTTTTCCTGCTTTTAAGTTGATTTCGAGAAACATCCTTAATAGCATTTCACTCCCAATCATTCAACCATAAAGGAAAGGTTCATATCACATACAAACTGTTCATTAAGGGGCCGTTTATCAAACACTTACCTGGTAAGTGGTTACGGGTAAAATTTAACATTATCATTTACTTACAAGGTAAGATTTTAGTCCATAAAAATAACATCGTATGCAATAATTTACCCGGTAAGCGCTTACCGTGGTAAAAATCGTCGCCCTTACTTACCGGGTAAGCCTCTTGGTCATTGTCTCGCTCTTACCGGGTAAGTTCTTGGTTCTTACGATATTCACTAGGTAAGGTAATGTGACTTGATAAGCGCTTACCCAAACAAGTGTTTGGTAAACGGCCCCTAAATCATCTAATTCGGTACAAAAACCACTCTAGAAATGTTGTTATCCCATCCCCCAATGCTTAAATCATTAATGAGTTGGTTATTTTAAAACAACTTTTAGTTTATTGATTTATATACAACAATAGATATAAATTGAGATGAGCAAAAGTAACCGGTCCCTCGTAAAAGGTTCAATGAGACCGGGCTTGAAACACACTTGGACCTAGCCCAACTGAGTGGCGGTTTTGTAGTAGGTCGGTCAAGCTAGTTACTGGTTAAAAAAGACCAAATCAGGTCTATATCGAGATTTGTTTGAATGGATACCATAACTGGCCTTGTAATCGGGTGCCAAAACAACTTCACAAATCTAAAGTTTGTACCACATGACAGCATCTCATCGGCCAACAAAGTTTCCGCTTTTTTTCTGCCGATCGTTTATTGACCCTTTTTTTTTTCAAATAACTTATTATATTTACTATTTTACTATGTTGCCCTTGGTATTTGTATAAACATAAGGTGTTTTCTTTTATTTTTCATACCCAATTCTTACAATCTTGCTCAATTTCTCTCAGGTCGGTGGTCCTAGTCCCGATGGTTCTCAAGTCGGGCCTTGATTCACACGTCTTTGGTTGATGCCGCAAAAGACCATGTTATCAAAATGATCGAGGTGTATAACCGAAAGGCCCTGATTCAGTAACATGTTGATTTGACACTGATAAAACGCACCATTGCTTTTGAGCATGGTGGAAATGAATTATTTAAAATGCTAAAAAGATATAATTTAATTTTATTATTTTGAGGATAAAGAATATTATTTATTTTGACAACGAAAATTGTCAGAGACAAATTTAGATTTTATATTAAAATCGATTTTTTGTAGGGAGTAAAAAGTCACTCAATAATATCTGCGGTTTTGTCATGACATAAATGCTACGCTTATAAACAGACATTTGATAGACCTATAAAGTGACTTAACAACAAAGATTCCACCACAACCCTCGTACATTTGCACATATCGAGTCTTTGTGAACTTCTTTTCCAGTGAAAAACCAAACTGTTGTCTTCCTTACTAGTTATAGGTAGCGCTTCCAACAGAGCAAGACCACGTCCCTTTTTATTAGCACCCAACGTCACCCCTCAAAACGTGCCTAGTCCTACTGTTAGTGGGACTTGATATACATGTTGATGAAAAATATTAGGCTTACACCTAGTGAGCTCGAACAGTTTATCTTGCGGGTTTAAAACAACAATATGGAAATGATAAATTCAAATAGCAAGTACCCGCAACGTGAATATGTTTCATTGCAAAATTTCCAAAATAGATCAATTGACACAACACAAACATCTTGCGATGACGAGGGAGACTGGCTTCCATCGGAGAAGCGACAACATAAAAGCATTGCCACATAACGATGTTACCGAGTTACACCTCAGATTATGTGACTTTCGTGCACACCCATTTATGGAATCACCTCAAGCCCCCGATACATTTAATGTTTACACCAATAAAGTGTCCTATTAACTATTTTATACGACATTGTTTGAAAAAATGTCCTATAAACACAAGTGTACTATAAAAAATGGGTTTATATGACACTTTTAAAATCGCTGACTTGACACTTATTTTAGAAGAGTTTTAAAAAACTTGTTAAAATGTCTAAAAGCCTCCTATAAACCTATTGTAAAGCACTTAGATAGGATGTTTATAGTTTGGTCATGTACACCTTAGTTTTATAAAATATTCTATTATGATGTTAGACAATCGTCTAGGCCCCTATAAAGCCATTTTTGTTCTAGTGCAAGGATAAGATGAATCTATTGCCTCGTGACCTGATGTCAAACTTATTGCAAGAAAGCTCGGATCTAATCAGTCACATTTTCCCATCAAAGAAAAGGGAATTCATAAGCATATACATATACATATACATATACATATACATATACATATACATATACATATACATATACATATACATATACATATAGAAGTTGGTTCAAATACTAACCCATATTTTTGTGTTAACTATACTAACCAACATCAACCAATCATGTTCCATCTTTTAGTTAGGTTCAAATGTAACTCACATATTAAGTGTAAGGGTATTTAGGTAATTTGTCATTTTTATGTAACTCTCCAATATTTTTATTGATGCATATTACTTAAAATTTAAGATTACAAGTAAATTATGCATAAGTACAACTTATTAAAACACCATACTTGAATTCGTCTAACTAACTGCAGGTAAACATAATCAAATATTGAATAAATATCTCATTTTATATATAAAAAATCTAAATTATAATTATGATAATCATTGATAACTAACAGAACTTAATTAAGAAAATTACACCAAAACACAAGAACTTTTAAAAAGATTAATTTAATATTGATATCGATATTTTTTTCAAAATTTTATGATATTTTTAAATTTATATTTTATTCAAAAATAAAAATATTACCACTTTCTCAAAACCACATAAAATCAATGTTTACTTAA